GAAGAGGGATGGTGCTGGTACTGAAAGATCCGGTTGGTTTTCTTGGTGCTTGGCTTGTCACGTGTCCATGGTGTATTCTTGACATTTTCCAAGACCTTTGACGCCATCGGCTGGCCCCTCCTCTGGCAACATGGTGGGGCAGTTGCCGAGCGGACCTCAGCGGGCCGCATGCCGCCGAGCCAACCGAGGAGTTGCAATAGGATAGTGCAAGAAGATCCCATGGTGCGCTTAGTGTAGTATGTTTAGAGTATAAGTTACGCTGAAATTTGGAAAGTGCATAACCCCACAAGGCAACGCCCAAGATGGCTGGGTGGCATTGCGGCATCATGTTTTGCCGGACACTCTGTTGGACCATTGATGTGGACAATGAATAGATACTGTAATGCAACAAGTACAATTACTGTAAAATAATACAAGTTTTATGGGAAGCGTTTCTCCCTCCCTGAAAGTTTGCTGCGGGTCCCATTTGCGCAGCTAGAGCCCTTAAGAACCAGCCTTACACCTAAACGTGTTTGGCTCAACAACCATGAAATATACACAATAATGCCAAGGCCTGGTACGCTAAGCAAGGCCGATGTCTCAGCATGTTTCTCGTTGTTGATCCAATCTGGAAAGGGAATCTTAGGAAGGTGCTTGACTGAGTGCAGACACATGGGGTCAGAATCTGAACCTAAAGATCATTGACATCTATTCAAGACCAGTCAAAATGGCACGCGAACTGAATCAGTGCATTGGCAGAACATGCATCAATGTCATCGAGGCAGAGGAGCACCTCCGCAGCAGCTTGCGCGGGGATTTGGGGCACCTCTCAGCCAACTTCGGCTTGCGAGTGGAAGCGGAGGCCCATTTGACCTTTCTTTTTTCTCCTGCAAACAATTTACTGTTACATTTCTTTCGGGAAGTTGTGGGGTTCTAGGAACAAGGACGCTACTAGGGGCTTATCGCCCTACTACTAGGAGCAAGAACGCTACTAGCGGCTCCTGGCATCGCTACTAGGAGCAAAGACGCTACTAGTAGCTTCTTGCTCCTAGTAGTAGGGCCAGGAGCCCCTAGTAGCGCTCTTGCTCCTAGAAGCGATGCCCTTTGCTCCTAGTAGCTTCTTTCCAAAATAAGAAGTGGGTCGCATCAGTGAAGCTAGGTGGGTCACGTTTCCGTCTTGCCTCGTCAGGGCCCTGTCAACTGAATGGGTGGCGTTTCCCGATCTGAAACGCAACACTGTAAGACTTTTTAAGGTCTATGTTACCTGGGTGTAATTATCCAGGAGACCACGACAAGTGCAATGGTGTTGAGCAGAGTTGTTTCATGTTTGTTTCTGCTTTTGGCCGAAGAATGACGGAAGAAAGCCGCATGGACAATCCTTCAGAATCCTTCGGATTCCTTCGGATCCAGGTGGCGTCAGACAGCTTCCGCGTGCAGGGCTGCGAGGGACCGGACCACGCAGCTGCGGTGCGAAAAGAGCTGCAGGCCGGGCTGTCCGGGCTTGGCCCAATTGGTCCAGACTCGAAAGCAGGGTGCCGTGCTGAGGAAGAGTCTGTTTTTCCCGAATGCGTAGCGAAGGGTTCTCGTTTAACTCTGGGGGTCTGGGGGTAGAGCCTTGTTCGCGACTCGTTGAGCGACCGCAACCGTTGGCAACCGTTAGCAACCGTTTGCAGCCATTCGCAGTAGGGCGCTAAGGTGCTGCCATTGGGGAAGCTTTTGGAGGGTTTTGCATGGAAGCGTGACGTGTCAGATTCGTGTGAAATAGCGAGGAGTCGTGTGGGAGCGTGAGATGTTGAAGTGTGGAGGATGATTTCACTGCGCAGGCGCAGCGTTTTGTGAGATCCGCAGTTTTCTGCGTAGTCACATTGGGATTGGCGTTTGGGGGATGGTGTGTTTGGGGTGGCTGTGACATTGGGATTTGCGTTTCAGGATGTTGCATCGAAGCTGTCAGCTGAAGTGGTGATTTTGGTGGACGGGAGTGTGCTCAGAGCGTGTCGAAATCATTCCAAACGTGTGGTGTGGTGCAAATTTGTTGCAGCTCACATGACATGATATTTCAGAGGCAAACGGAAGGGTAGTGCACAGAAAGGGTTTTGCAAACTGTTCTACTAACATCGTGGAAGGCGCGTGACATTCGTAGAACCCAAGGCTATTCGTGGACAGTTCGTGGAATGGTGGGCCAGTAGGAGAACTGACTGCAACGAAATCCCAGAAACCTTCGCGGAACTTCGTGGAAGGTATTTTTGATGCACTAACCTCGTATAACCGATTTTTGCTGACCCCCTTTCTCCACACACCCTCCATTTAGCCTTCAATATTGTCACTTTTCGTGGCAGGTGCTGGGAGTCGTGAGGTTGCGAGTTGTGTTGGAGGCGAGTGTCGCTGTGACATTGCATTGCTGGCGCAATCAGTGTCCACAATTTTTCGGTACACCGTTTACACTGTCTACACCGGCTACACCGTTTACACCGTCTACACCGTTTACACCGTCTACACCGTCTGCACCGTTTACACCGGCGTCTACACCGTCTACACCGGCTACACCGTTTACACCGTCTACACCGGCTACACCGTCTACACTGTCTACAGTCTACGCCGTTTACACCGTCTACACCTTTTACACCATCTACACCGTCTACACCGGTTACACCGTCTACACCGTCTACACTGTTCACACCGTTTACACCGTCTACACTGTTTCCACCGTTTACACCGTCTACACCGTTTACACAGTTTACACCGTCTACACCTTTGACACCGTCTACACCGTTGAAACCGTTACCGGCGTATCCGGTGTAAACAGCGTGGTCAGTGGTCAGCGTAACCAGCCTAACCAGCGAGCAGCGTATCCAGCGTAAACAGCGTAACCAGCGTAACCAGCGTATCCAGCGTAATCAGCGTAAGCAGCGTAACCAGCGTAACCAGCGTATCCAGCGTAATCAGCGTAAACAGCGTAACCCGCATAAACAGCGCAACCAGCGTAATCAGCCTCACCAGCGTAACCAGCGTAATCAGCGTAACCAGCGTCAACAGCGTAACCACCGCCGCCAGCCACCGCCAGTGTACCAGCGTACAATCACTCGCGGACACGCTTTGCCACGTCGCTCTGACATTGGGATTGGCGTGTGAGCGGGCCTTGCTTGGAGGGGCTGGAGTCGCAAAACTGCTCGGCAGGGCTGCTTGATGTGTGTGCTCCGATGAGGGTTCCCGCTTGACTTTTGAAAGAAGTCTCGTGGGAAATGATCGTTTTGGAGACTTTGACATGAGGAAGTCTCGTACGAAACGCTCGTTCCGGAGACCGGACGCGCGACTTTTGGAGGAAGTCTTATACGAAACCCTCGTTTTGCAGACTCGACGCGTGAGTTGGTTGGAGGATTGGCGTGTGAATTTTGGAGGAAGTCTCATACGATACGCTCGTTTCGCAGACTTGAAGTGTCCCACAAGAGTATCCGACAAGAGTGTCCCACAAGAGAGAGTGTCATATAAGAATGTCCCACAACAGAGTCCTACAAGAGTGTCAAGAGTGCCCCGCACGAGTGAGTGTCATACAAGAGTGTCCCACAAGAATGACAGACAAGAGTGTCCCACAAGAGTGTCCCGCAAGAGTGTCCCACAAGAATGTCCGACAAGAGTGGCCCACAAGTGTGTCTTTCAAGAGCGTCCCACAAGAGTGTGTCCTACAAGAGTGTTCCGTGTCCCACAACACAGACCTAGAAGAGTTGCAAGAGTGCCCACAAGAGTGTCCGACGAGAGTGTCCTACAAGAGTGCCCCACAAGAGTGTCCCACAAGAGAGTCCGACAAGAGTGTCCCACAAGAGTGTCCCACAAGAGTGACATACAAGAGTGTTGCGCATGAGTGTCCCACAAGTGTGTCCTACCAGAGTGTTTCGCAAGAGTGTCCACCAAGAGTGTCCCGCAAGAGTGACATACAAGAGTATATATCCCACAAGAGTGTCCCGCAAGAGTGTCCCACAAGAATGTCCGACAAGAGTGTCCTATACAAGAGTGTCCCACAAGAGTGTCATATAAGAGTGTCCCACAAGAGAGTCATACAAGAGTCTTCCGCAAGAGTGCCCCACAAGAGTGTCCGACAAGAGTGTCCTACGAGAGTGTCCCACAAGAGTGACATACACAGGTGTCCCACAACACTTTTTCGCAAGAGAGTCCTACAAGAGTGTCCCACAAGAGTGTCCCACAAGAGTGTCCCGCAAGAGTGTCCTACAAGAATGTCCTACAAGCGTGTCCTACAAGAGTGCCCCACAAGAGTGTCCTAGATGAGTGCTCCACAAGAGTGTCCAAGAGTGCACAAGAGTGTCCCACAAAGGTTTCCGAAAGGAATGTGTCCTACAAGAGTGTCCCACAAAAGTGTCTCCTACAAGATTGTCAAAAATTGTTTGAGTGTTTGTTTTCGAGTACGTGTTTGCATTCGGGTTCGTGGGTTCCATCTTGTTTATTTTTGGTATGATTTTGTGTGTTCAACATGAAAGACTGTTGCCCTCACTTTGCACTGTGACAGGCTGTTTGCAACTACTACAGCTTTCCACCTCCTCAATGGCGAAGTTGAGGCCGTAGGCAGACCGTAGAACCATTGATTCAAGAGATCAAGCATCACTGGATCAGTTCCGATCAGTTATATATACGGCTAACATTGGCTAACATCCTCTAACGGGATCAGCAACTGTTAGCAACTGGCTGAAAGGATTCATATTATCCTCCTTTGACATTCAATCACCAAGAGCTGCCTGACGGAGTCTGCGAATTATATGCGACACTGTCAAGGGTAGACTTTTCGGAACTTGTACAGACATGCCAGAGGAAGGATCAAAGGGAGAGATGCTTCACAGTCTTCAGAAACATCGGGCAGTTTGCAGTTCCAGGTGGCTGACTGTCCGTGAGAGAATCTATTGTTTGAAACGACCGGAATCAGCTTTGTAGTTTGTACATGTCGCTAATGCATTCTAATGCATTGTCACATAATAAGTGGAAATTGCTCATAAGCGACAAGTGACCAGAACCATAAGGTCTCTCCACGCGGATTTCCTGGAGCAAGAACTACGTCGGAACAAGAAGACAGTGGTGATTCTGGATGACAGTCCAAATCTCAATCGAATACTTTAGTTGAGCATTTGCATCATGCAGCGCACAACATCGACTATTCTGCAGCACCATCGACAGTTTTTCAATCTCCGCGGTTCGAGGTTGTGCAGGCTTAGAGCAGAAGCTGGCAAATCAGAGAGACAATGCAGTCGAAGTGCTTGCTGGCCGCTCCAAGGCGGGACATATGGTCCGACAGACTGAGATAGGAACAAAGTGCAACAGACGTTTGCACTCACGTAATCGTCACTAATGCATCTAGATACTACTAGTACTAGTACGTAGTACTGAAGAAGACCCTGAAATAGGTAGAGAGGACGCGAATGAGTAAAGATGAAAAAGGACGTGAATGAGCCCAAAAGTGAAGCACTTTAAGGCACACATACTTTTCTGAGTATCCTCCATGTGCTCAAAGGACAACTTGGAACGGTTGGTTGTCTCTAAAAGGTTTGTTGTGCCACTGGCGAAGCTATAGGAATAGTGCCAGCTGTGGAACGCTTGGCGAGTTGAGGATGAAGGTGAATGAAGTCAGCCAGTTTGCCATGTAGAACCTGCTAGTGATGGCCTCCAACCTACTAGCTATGGCCTCCAACCTACCAGTGATGAAGTCAGCCAGTTTGCCATGTAGAAGCTCAACAGCTGTTTAGCCCTGCACATCTTCCCCAGGCAAGACTTCGTTGTGTGGGGCTTCGCTGCCTTTCCGTCCGTGGCCAAAGTGGTACATGTAGAGAGATCCAAGTCTCTGCCATTCAGTGAAGCAGGAGACACGTTTCATTACTCCATTACAACAAACATGTACTGTAATTGCCACCCAGCACAGAATCAGAATGGGGGTTTGTACTTTCCAGTCATTCTGAGAACTCAGCTCTTACATCGGCTCAGGCTTGGCGTCAATGGCTCATCATGGAACAGGCGCAGAAGTGGAGGGAGGCTGAGGCGACGAAGATTCTGGAAGCGTGAGAAACTAAGTCTCACTTAATTCACCAAAAGCCTCGCAAGAAAACACATTACTGTATTGTTCGGTAAGTGGCAGTTGCGTGTCAGACCCAAAGAAACAAGAGGAATGTTCAAGTTACTTCGAGATTTCCAGCACGATCATGAGCTTGATGCTGCAGAATCCACCGAAGATGTGCCACTCACAACTTCAAGGTCAGATGCATACGCCTTGCGCCTGCAAGGCGCGGTTTCGTTTCATCCTGCATTGTCTTGCTCCTAGTAGCGATGCCAGGAGCCCCTAGTAGCGTCCCTGCTCCTAGTGGCGATGCCCTTTGTTCCTAGTAGCTTCTTGTTCCTAGTATATAGCGATGCCAGGAGCCCCTAGTAGCTTCCTTGCTCCTAGTGGCGATGCCCTTTGTTCCTAGTAGCTTCTTGTTACTTGTTCCTAGTAGCGATGCCAGGAGCCCCTAGTAGCGTCCTTGCTCCTAGTGGCGATGCCCTTTGTTCCTATATAGTAGCTTCTTGTTCCTAGTAGCGATGCCTGGAGTAGCCCTGCCCTTTGTTCCTATATAGTAGCTTCTTGTTCCTAGTAGGGATGCCAGGAGCCCCTAGTAGCGTCCTTGCTCCTAGTAGCGATGCCCTTTGTTCCTAGTGGCTTCTTGTTCCTAGTATGCGCAAGTAGCGATGCCAGGAGCCCCTAGTAGCGTCCTTGCTCCTAGAAGCGATGCCCTTTGTTCCTAGTACTCGTAGCTTCTTGTTCCTAGTAGCGATGCCAGGAGCCCCCCAGTAGCGTCCTTGCTCTCCTTGCTCCGAGTAGCGATGCCCTTTGTTCCTGGTAGCTTCTTGTTCCTAGTAGCAATGCCAGGAGCTCCTAGTAAGTAGCGTCCTTGTTCGTAGTAGCGATGCCTGGATCCCCTAGTAGCGTCCTAGTTCCTAGTAGCGACGCCAGGCGCCCCTAGTAGCTTCTTGCTCCTAGTTGTCTTTTAATTCCTCATATCGCTCCCTTCGTTGCTTGCTTGCTTTTCTTTTCTGCGTGTGGCTTGCGCTTTTGGCTTTTGCGCTTTTTGCTTGATGTTTTTTTCTTAGTTTGCTTTTTTGCGTTAGTTTATGCACGATGCATTTGTGGTTTGCCATTAACATGGTTTGACTTCTTGAATGGCTTTGCTTTGTTTTCTTGCTTTCTTTATTTTTCGTTAGCTTTTTGTGTTTCTTGCTTGCTTCTGTCTTTTTTGCTTGTTGCGTCGCTTAGATCTGAAGATTTGTGCAACTTTAGTGTATTTGTATGTAAATAGTGTTGCAACTTTGTCATCAATGAAGCAAAGGTTTCGGGACGCACGTTCCCACCTTGGCTTTCATTGCACGGAGGGCTTTGCCCCATCACCAGCACATACTCAAGCCTTTGGAACTTACTCGTAATGTGCAAATTGGCGAATGTCAGTGGATACCTGCTAAACACCAAGTTTGTAGAACACCCACAAATAGAACAAAAGCCGCTCCAATTCTTCTTTAACGTTGTTGTGGTGTTTGGGAGGGGTTTTGCAGGCCGAACATCAAACGCTCTTCACAACGTTCCAGCCTAAGACTACCTTCGCTTTGCATGGATCGCCACCCCTCCAGAAATCTGAGCTCTGCAGTGCTTCTTGAACATGCTTGGGCAAATTGCCACATCCATTGTCCACTGAGGTTGGGACTGCTCTTTTTCACCAGCAATGGCAGACTTTAATGGTGAGACACTTGCTGTTGCAGAAGTGCGTACATGAAATATTCCCAAATAATCCCAAATATATATATATATATATAACGTACCAGCAGGTTTGCAAAGGATCCTTTTGATACTGAGTCATGTCAAGTCCCTGATAAATATGCATATTTATATTGACTATATGCTGGGGTTCTCTCAGGTGAGTGTTCTTAAAGTTTAGGGGTGCTACTCCGTTTCCCATTTGCAAGTGCCCGGGTTCTCGTCAGGTGCAGGGTGCTGTGCAGATGTACAAGCTTGCCTCCAGCAAAAAAATCCACTTTTACTGATTCTTGTTCCTTTGAATTACTTTATTGTGAAAAGCTGCAAAATCTCAAAGATCTAGTGGACACAGATTTCTTCACATGTATGTATGTATGTAATGTAAAATGTAAAATGTAAAATGTAAAATGTAAAATGTAAAATGTAAAATGTTATGTATGTATGTATGTATGTATGTATGTATGTATGTATGTTTTGCTGTACTGTGCCATGTGTTTGTGTCGACATTTGCCATATTGTATATTGTTAAGTTCTGTTGTTATGCTTTCCTCGCTTTTTGCATATGTCGACACATGTGGACAAAGGTTCTAGAAAAGAGTTTTCTAGGTGAATCAGCACGGGGTTCGCACTAGGTCTCTTTTGATTCTGAGTGATGGCAAACAGGGTACTGTGGTTTCGGGAGATTTGCAAGACTTCATGGAAAGTCAATTATACATGCTTGGCCAATGATGGCTGGTGACTGAACGCCAATCGACCCCGCAATATCATACAAGTTATTCTGGAACGAAAGCACCTTCAATGAAGTTCCTTGTTGGAGTTAGCGTGGAATTGTTTTGCCTTGTTGAGTGGTCAGGTACATGTATTCTTGTCGTGGCGTTTGCATTGCAAAGAGCAGCACTTAGAGTTAACACTTAGAGCTTCTTTGGCCTGAACGTGTTCAAGTGGGAAAGTGTTTGCAATGTTTTGCAAACGCTGAATCTGGAGCAGCCATTTTACGATGCATTGACTTGTGACATATGTGCAAGGTTGAGTGGCCGATTCATACAATAAAAGCAGCTGAAACGGCTCAAGTTCGTCAAAATCCCAGCACATGCACAGCAAGCACAGCAAGCACAGCATGGGCGCGAAGCCTGCCAAGGAGTCTCCAGCCAAAGAAGCCGCTGTGAATGACGCCACGAAGACGACTGAAGAGGATGAAGCTGAAGAAGAATCCTTTAATGTCACCTTGAGCACCATCAGTGGTGACCAGTTTATTGTGTCCGTGAAGCCAAGTGACAGATTCTCAGACCTTCAGAAGCTTGCGGCCGCAAAGCTCAGTTGGGATGCTGATTGGACTCTGAGATTTGCCGATGGCACTGCCTGTCAATTTGCACATTACTGGTTGGGAGTAGCATTTAAGGAAGCAGGTTTGCGTTTTAAGTTGGGGCCTATTGCGGATAACACCAAATGCAGCTGGCGCAGGTCGCTTCCTTTTCTTGCTGGTTTCATTCTGTTCAACTGGTACCTAAGTTCATTGCAGTGCGGGGAGCACACCAGCCCTCACGGCATGATCCTGCACTGCTATTACCACTTGTGGGACAGTAGGGCAAAGCAACTAAAGCTTTTCCAAACACAAGTAGACCAAAGATGGCAGCAGCTGCATCCCTGATTCGCCTAATATTAAGATTGGCAACAGACAGCCGTTTTGTTCAAAAGGAAAAATCAAGTTCCACTATTACACCAATCACATAGAGTTTACCAGTGGAGGAATGCACGGTCAACTGCCAACAGTCTGACAAACTATAGGCCTAGGCGGCCTACCTACTCTACTCAAGGAGTATGCTGTTCAGCACACATCGCATCGCAGCCAGAAAAAGCCAATACTGTCAGGGATGACTGCTTTTTGCAATCAACTCAGTAAAGCTTAGCTGCTTTTGAACCTGCTGACGGAAATGGCTATCCTTTCCTTCAGAAGGTTTGCCTCTCTTGCCAGCCGAAGCCATGCACAAACCCCCGCCAGCCAACTTCTGGGCTGCTTTCATTCTTGTTTCTTTCTCCTTGCGAGCCTTCTCTTCCTGTTTGCGAGTTTTCTCAGCTTCTCTCTGTGCTTTCTCAGCTTCTCTCTTTGCTTTCGCTGCAGCCTTGGCTGCTGCTTTGCTCTGGGCCAGTGCCTGCCTGGCTGATGCCAAAGTCTTGGCCTTTGCCTTTGGGCTAGGCTTCGCTTTCGCCTTGGCTGCTTTCTTGGCTGCTGCCGCTGCCTTCTGCTTGGCTGCTGCGCTTTTGCCTTTTGGAGTGGCTTTGGCTTTGGGTGTGGCTGCCACTGCCGCCTGTGCTGTTGCTTGCATTGCTGCTGCGGCTGCCGGTCTTTTCATCACGCCCGGGCCGCCCTGGCCCTTTTCATCAGGATCCACTTCCATATCATCGTCCTCATCAGCCTCCTCTTCTCCCTCCTCCGCCATGTCAGTGTCACTGTCGCTAGACATGCTTGTGTCATTGTGCCCACCCTCCTTTGGCAAAGGAGATGCTGCTGCTGCTGAACTGGACTTGGACTCCTGCTGTTGGGGCATGTTTGCTGGTGGTGTTGCTGCTAGTGCTTGCTTTGGTTGCTCTGCTGCTGCTGGTTTGCTTTGCTGGCTCGAGCTTTGTGGCGCCACTGTATGTTCTGGTGTCTTGCTGTTGCTGTTTGCCAAGGGTTGCTCTGCTCCTGGTGGTGTGCCACTTTGCAATGGCTCAGGCCCAGGCTCAGGCGGATCATCTACTGCTTGTGATCCTGGCGATGAGGTTGGGATTTCTGCGGCCGCCATCGGTGTGTCTACTGCTGTAGGTCCTTCTGCCGCAAGTTGAGCTGGCGGCGGCGGCGGCCCTTCTGCTTCTTGTGGATGGTTTGCTGCTGCCGAAGGTGTTGTTGCTTGTTGCTTTGCTGCTTCCGACTGAGCATCTGTGAACGCCATTGCCTCCTCAGGCTTCAGATCCGCTGGTGGTACAGGCGCCAGTGAAGCTGCTTCCTGTGGCTGGGTCTGGGGGTGCTGGGTTGCTTCTGGCAAAGGCAAGGGCAAGGGCCCGGGCGCTGTGTTTTGCTGTGCTGGCGCCGCCGCCGCTTCTTCCAAAGGAGGGTTGCGCTGCTTCTCGGACTCTGACTCTGCGTTCTCTGCTGCTTTGTTTGCCGGTAGTGCCTCCGATGCCACTGGTGGGGTCTCCACTGGTGGGGCCTCCAATGCTTCTGGTGGGCCTGGTGGTGTGGGTGCAAGCGGTGCTTCAACAATGCCAAGCTGCTTTGCTTCTGCTGGTGCTGGTGGAGACAGTGTTTCTTGTGTCAGCGCTGTTGATGCTTTCAAGGTTTCTGCTGGCTCTGGCTCTGGCGCTGGAGCTGCTAATGCCAGTGCTGGCTGCTCTGGTCGTGTCAGTGTTGGTTCTGCTGGTTGTTCAGGCGCACCCCCCTTCTCATTGCCACATGCAACCACTGCAGCCTCAGGCAGCACCACTGTGAGTGTATGGCCCCTGTCATAAGTCATAAGTACAGTTTAATAAACATGTGACTGGTGACAGGTGACTCATGACTAAATTACCTTTGGGATTCGGGATTCGGGATACTGTCATATCTCCGTCTCTGTCACCGTCTCCGTCTATTTGTTGTCTAGTACAGTTCAGTACTGTGCTACATTTGATTGCCCAGTCAGTCATATGGTCGTATATCATCAGTCTCTTCATTGCTTCTAGTAAGTGACTACCTTAGTCCGGTCCTGTCCCATGGGTTTCTCGGCGTGAACAGTGTATAGTGACCAGAGTGTCTCAGTCATGTCATGTCACGTCTAAACAAAGCAAGTCTAAGTTACAAGTCTAAGTCGGGTCCAGGAGCAAAAACATGGTCACCAGCAGCTGCAGCACCAGAATCCGCGTCGTCGTCGTGGACTGCAAGGATTCCAACCTTGGCCACTTTGACTGGGTGGCCAGTGGCAGAGTCGGAGTCAGGGTCCTGGCAAAAAAACACATTCATTTGAATCCAAAATCAAAACTATTTTACACATTAAAAAAACATATCATCATATAACATACGTTCTCATATATTCATAGACTATTCGTTTAGTTACTATATTATAAGATTAGTTTAGTAGTAGTAGTAGTAGTAGTAGTAGTAGTAATAGTAGTAGCAGTAGTAGTAGACAGTAAGTCACACTCACACAAATCCTACAAGCATCAGAGTTCATCAGAGCATCATTATCAGACTCATCAACCATCAGCAGACTGTCTCCATCTCTCTCTACCACACTGACCCCCAAATCAAAGTCTGAACATGGTTTATGGTTTGGTGCACAGTCTGAGTCTGAGCAATAATATCTTCTCGAACCCTTGTACCCTTGTCCCACCTCCACCTCCATCTTGACATCCGTAAGAGCCTCTTGCTTCACGGGCACGGCGCCCGGACAAGCCTGAAGCTGCTGCATGCGTGTAGGGGCAGGTGCAGACTGCTTAAGCTGCCGCCCTTGCTCAAGCTCCTCATCATCATTGTCATCGTTGGTGTACTCAATGAGTTCTTCAAGGGTGACTCGGCAAGCCCGGGTGATCAACATCCTTGGCAAGGAGTGTGATTGTGATCACAAGTCAGAAGCAAAGTGAGTCTCAGCAAAAGTTTGCCTTTGACTTTGTGGGCTGTGGAAAACAAACACATACAAAAGGCAGTCAGACTGACTGACACTGCATACTGCAGCTCAGCAAAGCAACTCCTCAAAAACGACTTCAGCCATTCTCAAGCTGGCGAGAGATTTGACACCAATGCAGTTGGAATAGCACCTCATGAAGTAGTTGTTTGACACCAAGGCTTTCTCCACAATCACCATGCCAGCAGGCACATACAGAACCTTGAAGTAGGGAGTCAAAAAGGGACAAAGAGAGACAGAGAGGGATGGACGGAAGGTGAGGGAAGATGAAGAACATAACACAAAAAAACAATTAAACAATGTAGAGAAACATCCCCAGAGCATAGCCATACTTGAGTGAAGGATGGTAAGCAATACAAAGGATTGCCAGGAAAAGACTCCGGTTCTGAAGACTTCACATCCATCTTCTCGAATGCTTGCACTGCTTGGGTGAAGTCGGTCAGAGTGAATTTATCCTGCTTGCCATCACCAAAGGCATTGCAAACCTTGGAACGGGGACGGGGAGAAACGATAATCGACAATAATGGTGCCCACCACCGCCGCCACCCGCAAACACCCCAAACCAGCCACAAACAATAACTGAAACAAACATTTTGTGACTTGTGCCAGACTTGTGCAGCCCAAAAGCGTCCTCTATGGAAGCCATGGCCATGACCCTTGTACCCTCAGTTTGGAACTGGAAGTTTGCCAAAGCTGTTGGCACGAGTCCAGCAAATTGTTTGCCCTGCTGAAATCCCAAGAAGGAAATGGACCGGTGAGACTTCCAAGAAGAAGCCAACAGTGCTTCATCCTTGTCCATCTCTTTGTGGAGCTCGCCGAGTACCATCTCCAAATTCTCAAAGTCCAACAAGTGGCACTTGGTTTCTTCAAGACCAGCGCTGCCCTCAAGGTGCGCTCCGATAAGGCTGTCAAAGTTGAAAGCTCCGATAGAGTCTTGGCAAGAGTCTGAGAATTTGCAAGTCTTCTTGACAACCGAGGGGTCAGCCTGAGCAAAGAAGAGAAGAGAAAAGAGAACAGCTCAAAACAAAACTCTGCTGCTTGCTGCTGGCCAGGCCTACTCAAAATCATCAAGTAAGTTTGGCTAGAGGGAAAGGCACCAGCAAAGGCCATGCCAAGGCAGCCAAGGCACCTCACACTTGTCTGTGAACTCAGTCATCCAGCCCTCTCTCTCAAGCTTCATTGTGTTGGTCACTGAGTTGATTTCCTTCTTACAAGGCTGGCCGTCGTTGGCTTGGGAATGGGTCTCCATGACCTT